CGAATCGCCTTTCACTTGGCCTAGATATTTCGGAACTGGTTCGTAATCACAATGCAAACTCGTTAGTTCTCAATAAACTAGACACTATTTGTGGTAACAATTTATTTCCTGGGGCAGCTGATGAAAAGGTTTAACTTGCGTAAGACGCAAGTACAAGTACAAAGTCTATGTCCAGCAGTGGACTAGTAAAGGCTGATAATGATGATATGAGGTCATAATAATAATTATATAAAAAATAATAGTGTTCTAAAGTAAACTTATTAAGTAGTTTTGACCTACCTTAGGATAAGGCTATGAAATAAAATATTAGAACATTTACTGATGATAACGCGAATTTAATCCGTACAGTAAATTCACATGTTGTAAATAATATTTATGGCAGATAATCAGTTTCCCCACAGTACAGGCAATCAAATTACGCTAATCACAGCCCTAAGGTGTAAATGAATAAAGTAAGATGGCGGGAGCGTACGCCAGCACATGCAAGGCAACCTGTTCTGTGGCGGGACGCGCGTCGCCTACGCCCGACAAATCGGCGCGCGCAGCACAAACTAATAATTACAGCACGGACATGTCCGATCAAGTTCAGATTTGTTCGAATTAGTTCGAATGAAACGTCATCGAAAATGCGTGACTGATATCTAAATTCAAAGTATTAATCATTAGTCATCTTGTACATTTATCCTTACGGTGACATTCTACTTGGTTATTCTTAGAAGAAAGCATGGTAATTTAGAAAACATTTATTGTACCTATTCCAAAAAGAGACGAAGAAAAAGAAGAAAAGTAGTGGGAAAAGGCATTACTTTTTCCAATATTTTCTTGACACTAAGTGTTTCTAAACACTTTCTTGACAAGTTTTCATATAATTGTCTGCCGCTACATTTGGAGCAAGTAACGTCCGTTACTTGCTCCAAATGTACATACAGTCCGTACAGCATTCTTTACAAAATAATTATGTTTACGGACAAAGAATACTCTCGACTCGAGACCTATTGACGTCGTAATGGCTAAAACCTCTGGAGCCCTGGATCGTGACCTGAGGCTCTTACATAATTCTCATGAACAGCTTTTGGACAATATTTGGGGTATTGAAAACTTATCTTTTATGTTATATAGCACGCTCTTGAACAACAACAGCGCAATTTGAGTCTTTTGAGAGATTTTCTTAATTCTCGTGTATTGCACTTTTTTTGTATGGTATACGGATAACACTCCTCAATTACACATGCACGCTGCGCTTTGTGTTTCCGGGCATTCATGCGCAAGCGGCGCAAGATGAAAGGACGGTGACAACCCCGACACGTTTTACCACAACGCCTTTAAAAGAAACTAATTTGACGCATCTCACATTTTTTCTCACTTTCCTTAATTTTTTATTCCCATGTGATCACAGATTCTAACAGTGTAGGAGCGACGGATGCAAGCCCGAGTCTGGAGGCCTTCGCTGCACGTGGATTGCATTACACGCTGTTGCTACCCGAAGCACTTGGCACACTTGCGTATAGTAAAAATATGTGTACACATGTTATATGTATGCATGTAAATTCAAAGAGGTACTTTGTATGTCTGAAGCGACATTTGATATCGATCGAATTCCTGTATGAAAACAAGCATTTCGCAAGATTTAAACAAGTTATGGCAGCTGCTCAATAATACATACAATTAATTATTATTACTTTCTATATATTTAATTAGCAGTATCGGTTTCATTACATTATTATTATATATTTTTCAAGTGAATGATGTCATACGCCGCGTGTCGTAAAAATATTAGTTGAAGTGAAACGGTATCAAGTGATGTTGAGTTGTTTGTGCGTGTGCGCGCTGATATTTAGGCCGACCAAAATAGCCACCATTCTGTGGCGAGTTAAAATTTCAAATTCTACTGAGTTACTTCTTTTTTATTTAAGAATATACGATTATAACCCAGTAATCACGTGTAACTCACTATCAATCACAATGGGTAGTCATTTATCAATTCAAGGCTAATATCCCTCCCATACTATAACTTACTACATTGGTCACAACATTCACTTATAACATAATATAAAAATAATTCAGTACGGCACAGTTAGCTTGTAAACGATAAAAATTTGATAATGGACCCGATAAATGCGCGAGTTGTTTGCGCGGTACACACGGCCGCGCCATCAGGCACGCGCACGTCTCCAAGGCCATTTTGTTTACACATACACCCGCATGTTTACGCGTGCTCAATATAATATCCAACCAATACGCAGAAGTAGCTGTAGTAAACATACAGACATTAACCAAATCACTTTGTGAATTAGCCAGGTTATATCTAAATGAAAATGGCGCGAAACGCTCCATTGATTGTTTGGCGGGAAACCTGTGTAATGATCACATTAAAGTATTTTCTGTATATATTTACAGTATGTATGTAGTATAACTAGTGCAATTACATATGTGCATGCATATCTGTCTAACCTATACCTGGAAAATTTAGTTAAATTAAACAGTGCTCGATGCTCTCCAATTGCCTCATATTAGACAAACCATTTGTCTTGCTTAGATTATAAACAGTCACTGATAGCGTTTAAGGTCGACAAGTTTTATAAAAGTGGAAACATAACCTATAAAACACGTGTGTGAGAATTTGGCGGGAAGACTGCGGTCTACCCGTCGACCTTGGCTTCCTGACGTCACTGACATAGTTCCCGGCTACACCGACGCTTGTTTTTTGTCATGATTCAGACATTTTTATTATTACGAACAAGATTTTTACATTGAGCATTTTGTTGCTAAGTTACCTGTCACCTTGGCAACGAACCTTGATACTATTAATGAGAATATTTATTCAGCTCTACCTACCATACCATATCATAGTTACATACATAGGTACCATACCATAGTGAGATCTGCATTTGTATCAGTGCTGCACATGTTTATTTACCTGTAACATAGGACGTTTGGACTTTTTGGACAGTTTGAAAAACACTTAGTAAATAGTTTTAACTCTTAGCCATGTTACATTTAAAAAAAACTTTTACTGTCATCCTGTTCATGTTTTACCATATATTTTTCTTACCACTGATAAATCCGCTAATGTGTGAAGAAGACCACGTCTTCGTCGTGTTGGACTAATCGTTAGCCATTAACTGGCAATAATTAAAGAAAATATTAATTCGTAATATTCTACCACAATCACACAACGCCATCTAGTCCCAAACTAAGCAGAGCTTGTACTGTGGGTACTAGACAACTGATGTAAATAAATATTATATACTTTTTTTGTAAATACAAGCATACATATTATACATTTAAACACCCAGACCAAATCAAATATTACATGTTTATGCACACAACTTGAGCGGGAATCGAACACGCGACCTTTGGAATTGCAGTCCGTTCACAACCCACTCATCGGTCGTCATTCATGTAAAGTAATGGTTTAACTGTGCTACTGGAATTGGCAATGTCCAGGGCCTTTGGGTTACCATGCATAAATTAGGTTAGCCGTGGGCACGTAAACCCATTTCAACAGAAATCGTCGACAGCAGCTCGCATCATTATTGTTGTCAGCTACTTACTGTATAAATTATTACCTACGTACTATGTATAAGCGAAAACTAATTTATATCACATAATGAGATAACAAGTTCAGAGGTAAATAATTGATAGTGATCATTTCGAACTTTGAATAAATTATCGCAAAAATCGCAACACTAAATAATTAGGTACCTACTTAAAAATATTAGGAATTCTACGTAAGATGACTCAAAGACGAGACGGAGAGGATAAACAAAACTGCAACATAGAAAAGTTATTAAACCCAAACAGAAAAACTGAACAGTATGTATAAAATAACTATCGTACTAGGCCCCAAAATATTGTACACAAATTAATAAAAGAACTATTCTCAATGCCATCTCTTAGTTATTGAATCCAATTAATAGTTTGCATTTGGCCTTGGCCACTTCGGTAACCACGCTACTTTTTGTTAGTGCCGATAATTTGTTGGCTGTTGTCAGACGTTAGATCTACTCTTAGTTTAGGTATAATGAAAACATAGTATGTTATTGTATTCGCGAAGTAAATTAATACGGTTTTACAAATCGCTTAGCGCTTATATATATTATCCATTTTGTCATCTGGACAAGTATTTATTTTTGTTTTGCTTTAAAACTCATCAGTCTCTACTTCATTGTTTTTAATGATTAACTTTAAAATATTTTCTTTATATATTACACAACATGTCCCTTATAAGACATAATTTCAGCTTCAGGCTCCAGTTCTATTCTAACGATATCATCATGGATATTTTTGTAATCAACCATTACTTTACTGCCATAATCCAAATTTGAATATCTTTCACGTCAACCTTTGCTACAGTAACTCACAGACGAGCTATTATAATACAGATTAAACAGTAGTAAAAAGATCGTTAAATTTTATAAGCAATATTTTTTCAGACTTGGAAATGGTTACAAAGAACGTCGCCGCCCATGGATATGTTTAGAAAAAAAACTATGGCGGCGCTTTAAGTACTCTAAACATATTTTTTACATTTCAATTCTCTTGGATGAAGTCGTAAAACTCTTATGCGTCGCATACAATGCTAAGGCAGCATCCGGGCGTCTTAACGAACTTTTCAGTTTGAGGGTCGTAAAATTTTTCCCAATTTACAATAGTACAACCACGCCCTGGATAATAACATTTACGAGGAACTCCATGCATCGTACAACTGCTGCACGGTTTTGCCACGTATCACCCTTCGCAGAGAAATGTTAACAAGAGTCGTAAACTGCTTTCACCTTGCGTTTTATCGCTGCTACAGTCGCCCGAGCCAATAAACAACTTATATAAATACAACGGCGAATAATTCCATTTTAATTTTATTGCCGAATTTGAGACTATAAAAAAGTATATTGTTCTTCAGTATTCTATAAAGTTTATTTATGATTTGAGTCTTTACTATTTTCTCACACTATATACGTATTCAAATTATTGATATCCTATTTTCTCTTTTTTTTCAGATTTCCTGAAACCGCGCAAACGGTTATCGTCCAGCGGTAAGAAATCTCCAGGTCATGCACACAAGCATGAGTGCGGGCATGGAGCGCACATCCGCCCGCCCAAAGTCGCGAGACTTGCGCCGGCGCACCTCAAACGCACGAGCTAGGCCCCGCCACACCATGACAACATTCAAAATTGAACAACTGCGCATAGGCAGCTAGGAAAACGAAACAGAAATCTTTTGTAATCGGCGAGGCGAAAGTGACTGAATGCTACCGCCTAACCTACTGATGTTTTGTCAGTTCAATTTTGTCACACCCGTTGTCAATATGTGCATATCTTTATGATTTATTAATTTATTGTAATACCATTTCCAAATTACTAATAATGTTAAGTATTGAGTAAGGTAGATTAAGGGAATATCTTTAGTTCAAATAATTAATATATCGCTACTAATGTCACTAAACATCACACTCAAGTTTTGCTCAACGTACATTCAGTTAAACACTTGAACGAACCTACTGATGTGTTATAATTTCATCGTAGGTCTGATAAAACATTGCCAATATTCAAGAAATGGTTGAATAGAGTCAACAGAATTTTTGTTCTTTACAATCACAAAGTGTCTATATACACAAAAATTGTAAAGCAAGCGGTTCCTATTTTGGGAATTTTCTCTATTTCTTGCAACTTTTTTGTCACTAACTAAAGGTGTGTTATTTCTTTAACACAGATCTTTATGAAACATAACGTATACAGACAATACCAAACTGTTTTAATCAGCCGTTCCCACTACAGCAAACATTCACAAAACTTGTAACATGCCGTGACAATTTGTAATAAGTTATCATTATATTATATGAATTATGATCTCTTTGAATTAAGTTATTTTTAGATTAGATTAGATTAAGAATATTTACACTAAACGTCAGACCCTAATAATAAACAGTCACAATACATAGATGTCTTGAAAATGTATCAACGATTGATGCAGAGGAAATGAAATTTTCGCTGTATGCGTTGGAGCATTTTCGATGCATCTAATTCTCTTGACGAAGGTCACTTGCGTATGTTCTTACGTACCTCGCGAGGAACTTACGAAAGTTTCTTCACAATACATATACCTTATGAATAACAACACAAATACTCAAAAGTAAAACATTGTTACCTTCACTGGTTCTTGCAATTTTTAAGTTAAGTATCGCAATACTGTATCCAATTTGAGTATTTGTGTTTCAATAATATCTACTAGTACGAAAGATTAGGATATTTGTTTTGTTGTTGTACTTTAATGGTTTATAAAATAATTATATGATTGTTTTTTTTTAAATTCGACACCCAAAATTACAGTCCACAGTTTTCAACAGCGCATCGAAGTGACTAAACCGGGGCCCTTTGTGAAAGTACAAATTTTCTCATGTTGTTTAGGTCGAGGGCTCGCGGCCGCAACAAAAGACATGCTATTTATCATTATCATAACATAAGTCATTCTATGTGTAATTTTGTAACATTTATTTTATAAGGTTTGGTTATGTTATACCATACGTCACGTATGTTTATATTTTCTATACAACGAGAGTTGTAACGCATTTTTAAGCTAACCAAAGCCGTTGTAATTTTTTTGCGACTATTCAAATGAAATTAAGTAAATGAACTTTTAAGACTTGACAGACAAATAATGTATAATTTTATATTGTTGTAAAAGTATATTTTGACTACAGAAGTAGTTAATAGCCTGTTTGAAAATGACGTTCGTAATTTATGAATATTTTTTGTTTGCGTGTGGTGTCTCAAACTGACGCATCTTGACACTAAGAAAACTAGAAACGTATTTCATTTCCCTGTTAAAGAACGTCAGATGCAACTGATGCCGACAAAACTAATATCGATTAAAAGTTTACTAAATAGAACTGCCTGATATCCGGCTGTACTGATATAAGACCATAAGTTTCCTTTAACTAGATGTCACAATTTCAAAATGCCTCTTAGTTTGTGAGACCACACCAGATATGGTATAATTATGTTGTTTGATTCGGACGTGTCTGTGTCGTGTGTCACGGCCGTCTGCAATATATAGAAGTTAAGTGTCCTCGTAATGTTTGTCTTCACAATGTTCATACGTGTCAACGTTTTGTACACTTTACTTTCATTTCTTGTATTCTCGTGCTAATTACTCCGGTAGTAACTAATTAAAACACTAATTAGGTATCAGCTGTATAATAAAACTGCCATTTTAGTAACCAGTTTCTATTTAAAGCAGGTCACATACATTTAGGTGTGTACAATTCGTTTACAGTATTCAACGTTGTCTCATCACCAAACGAAACATTTCGAGTTCACTTTATAATAATTTTATTTTCTCTTTAACACCTGTGATGTATTAAATATGATCTCAAAACATAATTTTTACTACCTTCATATTTAATTATTATAGTGTTAGTCCCGGCGTCTGAGGTGAACAAACTGTATCCCTGGAGTGTTTGTATTTGAGAGATAATTTAATACATCAGTTGATTAAAACGATAATGTATGGTTGGGAGGAGGTGGAGTCGGTTCTGTAAATGCGTCGCGTCCCGCTGCACTGTACATACGGCACTTTTAGCATGTATTTATTGAAAGCGGAACGAATTCGTAGGATTAATGGCAAACGTAGGGATACTAAAAAATATTTAACATAATATATACTACGATTAATTTTATTGGAAAGTTGAGAGGCAAATTTAAATAGTGTGCCAAATATAATCCACATCTGCAGATGAGCGTTTATGCTCTGTGTAAGAGAGTCAATGTTCTAGTTGTGTATTTTCGATGAATAAATTTATATGAAAAGACATGTGAGGCGTGAATACTCCTGCGGGAAATAAATGCAAATATATGTTAGACATACGACGAAGTCAATGTTATGAATGTAAATGTTATTTATCGTTCACAGTTTAAACATTGTACTAGATCGCGAGACAATGCCTACATTACTTGAAACATATGTAAATAAGAAACAGAGAAACAACCCATAATTTTTATACTATGTGAACTCTTAGACATTGTGTATTGTAAATTTAGTTGAAAAAAAGCTTTTTTCGCTCCATATTTTGTTGTTTTGTTTTTATACCTTCCTCTGCTATTATGATATAACTTAAAGAATATGAAACTTATGAAAGATATACATGGTAAATGGACTTTAAAATAGTAAGTATCATAAGGTATACGAGTATAAGCATGAGTCTCCAAAGCAAACATAGTCATGCAATATAATGAAATTAACAAACTATAGTTTTACCATAATTTTGTTGACTAACCCCATAATGGAAGAAGGGTTTTTATTAGACTTGCAACGAATAGTATATTCGGCAGTATACCGAATACCGAATATTCGGCGAGTCTCCTGACCGAATAGCCGAATATTAGGCAAAAGTATTCGGCTGGATTTTAGCCCCAAAAACTTGTACAGACGTGAATTAAATTATGTACCTGTTTTATGTAACAATGACTACTTAATAAATGATTATAAAAGAAATGAGAACCTTACCCTTCTAAATTTTGATTACCACAATAATTCAAATACATCATCAATCATCATCATCAACAGCCTTTAATAGTCCACTGCTGGACATAAGCCTCTCCTTAGAAAGGAGGTTTTGGCCTACTATACCACGCTGGCCAGACGGGTTGGTATAGGGTTTGTGTCAAGTTTTCCTTCTCTCTGCAGTGTTGTTGTTCTGCGTCGTTTTTTCCCTTAGTTGACTCTTACAACACCCACGGGATGAATAGGGGTGGTGACAATCTGTATTCTTAATCCGTCACCACACGGTAACGTCAATTCAAATACATAGAATCCTCCATTTTTTCAATTCAGAAGATGATTATGTACCTGTGTTATGCACCAATGACTACTTAAATTATTATAACAGAAATAAAAATATGAATATATACGTAATCAATCGATTTTAATTTTTCATTTTACCAATTATTTCTCAATGACAAAATATATTATTTAAGTATTCGGTATTCGGCCGAATAATATGTAGATATTCGGTATTCGGCCGAATATAATAAAAGCAGCCGAATAGGCCGAATACCGAATAGTAACCGAATATTCGTTGCAAGTCTAGTTTTTATGTTCACAATGATGGGCCTGATGTACTATTTAAAACAGTAAGGAGTTGACTGGGTAAAAAGAATTGACATGTTTTTGGAATGTACTTTAAAGCCTCAAACAGGTACTTAATTTAAAAAAACATGACGTCCACTCCTGGGTTCTAGAAATAACCAGTTTAAGTTTCATATTTAATTTCATTTATTAACGGGGACGGAGACATCAATACTTATGAAGCACCCACTTACATATATCTATCAGGATTTTTCAGAGGTTTTTTTACTTCACTATTTAAAAAGTTCTAAAAAGAACAGAATCTAAGCAGTTGGAAGATCTGAGACCTCTTTTGTTGTACCTCCTATTCGACGGGATAGCTAAACTTAGCGTTAGATATAGAAGAAAAGAACTTGATATATCTACAAGCTTTCACGTGCGCCTTTACTCGTCCAAAAGTATTTTTTTCCCATTTATCGAGAAAGTACTGTTTTTACAACAGACAAAAGGGTGTTCTTTGTACCCCTGTAGCAGAGTGTACTCGTAAGTATGCAAAATTTTAAGAAGTTGGATTAGACGGTATGGCAGAGAATATAATAGGAAGAAATAAAACTTGATGATCATATTATTATATTAGGAGATATAACCAAGTTGGCACAAAGGACAAATCAATCATTATGAACCATGGGTCAGTACACGTCGTCGGTCACGTTCAATGATTGAGGCCGATGAAGGTCTGTACCACGTGTCGATTGCCCCCAAAGCACTAACGAACTAACACGTTGAACGAGTGTAAGGCTCTCCAACTCTCCATTCTTTCTTCACCCGTAGCTCTGCTAATCAGATGTGACAAACCGCAGACCGCTTCGCAAGAAACATTAGCTATGTGTGTGCGTTGTGCAAGAAATAATTTTTTGCAAGAATGTGCAAGAAATAATTTTCTTTTAGCAAGCACTGACACCACCTAAATAGAATCGTTCAAAAGCCTAAAGCGACAATTCTGGTGGCAGTCACAAGTTTATTAATATTAAACACAGTAACCCTTTCCGTTTGATGGTTGTTGCATAAGACCTTGGTGA